AGAGAGGCTTTGAAGCACTTCCTTAGACCATGCTGGTGACGTACCTCAAACGGATGCCCCTAAGAGGCTATTCATGTAACCTATGTTTGGGATTGACAACTTTAATGAATTGGCTGTCTCAACGTTGCCATAGATTATCTTGGGTTAAGTGCTCATCAGAAATTCTGCTCCACAAAGTTTTTACAGCACACACGCATCCACACATACAAAAATAGCATTACCGAATCAGTGTGTGTGTGTTTGTAGTTGATTGTTAAACCCAATCAAAAAGAGTATATATACTAGAAACAGATGCTATGGCCAGATCAACTCTCTGTAGTGCTCTAATGTAAACGTAACAAGTGTTAGTATTCTATGGGCTTAGATATGTCTCATAATTATTTGTGTGAACATAAAAATAATTTGTGGGTAAATATGTGATTTGTAAATGAAAACACCATCCGCAAATGCAATTAAACGATTTGCAAACTCACAAATATGTTTGCAAATGTAAAACGGATCTACAAATACGTAAAATATTTTTACAAATAAAAAATAGGTCTTTGAATATCTCTTTAAAAATGTACAACTTTCGATCAGGCATTTGTGAATCAATTTTGTATTTGTCGACCAATAATGCCCTTGTGGATCTCACATTTCTGCTCGTGGATCTCACATTTCTTCTTGTGGATCGTCTTTTTACACACACAGAGTTTTGAGACAAACTTTCCGCCGGTCTCGGCTAAAATTTGGAAACGTTTGTCTCAAAACTCTTTGATCCACAAGCGCATTTTTGGTCGACAAATACAAAATGGATACACAAATGCCTGATCGGAAGTTGTAAATGTTAAAGAGATATTCAAAGATCTTTTTTTTTATTTGTGAAAATATTTTGCGTATTTGCAGATCCGTTTTACATTTGAAAATTTATTTGTGAGTTTGCAAATCTTTTATATGAATTTGCGGATGGTGTTTTACATTTAAAAATCACATATTTACACACAAATTATTTTTGTGTTCACACACATAATTATGAGACTTATCTAAGCCCATAGAATTCCTGAATTTGTTATTCATGCATATTTCAGAGTGTGTGTCAGTGTGTATACTGTACAAATGCTGCCCTCTCATTAACAGCTTGAGCTATGAATCTTGTCCGAGTTGTATAGGGCCAAGTCTACAGAGCAGCCCCTCGCCACGATGTAAATGAGCTGGCTTGCTGCAGAGCCCTATAATAGAATATATACGGCGCTGGCTTGCTGGAAGAGAGTGCTTGGCTTTTATTAGCTGGCCATCCATTCAGTGCCCAGCTTTAAATGAAAATACAGTAGTTGTTTTTTTATGTGGAAGTTGTACGGTGCCTGTTTTTAAATGATCTGGCTATCCACAGCGGTGCCTGTCTGTAAATGAAGTGCATATAAACTCTACTGCATGTTTTTAAATTAGCCTACCGTCTGCATCAGAACTGCACTGTAAATTAAACACTCGCTACCAAAGATGTGAAAACAATCTATTTCAATGTGTTAGCTAGCTGCCAATTAGACCGTTTTCTGGAGACTGAATATAGAGGAGGAACTTCACTCCATTGCTTCTTCAGTGGGAAAGTAGTCTATGTATTGACAGTTTTAAAAAAATACAGCCAATCTTGACACTGTCTGACAACAATTAGGTCTTAATATAATGTTTGATTGAACAAATAATGTATAGAGAGACAGTAACCTTAAATGTCTTAAGTAGGTCAGCCATCTAAGAGTCTAAATGATCTCTGATAGTATATTCTCCTTGGTATGCTAACATTAATTGGTTGTTGATTTATATCAGGGCCTGAGAGTCAAACGGGCTGATTATTGCACGTGAGACATTTCAGATGGTTTTACACCACAGGATGTTGAACCACAAAGGTCCATGCCTCGGGTAGAGTTAGTAGTGGCCAGTCCAAAACACTTGACTTAAAGTTAATCAACAAGCTTTACTAACAACTACGCTGAGTAGGGACAGCATCAGTCAAATTAAATTCTCTTCAGAAAACTTCTGCCCATACTTTCAACACAAGTAGTAACACTTTGATTGTATAACAAAGAATGATTCATTGGGTTTCTCTTTCACAAATGTTCATCCCACTTTTGTCCTACACCTACTTCTTCTTCTATCGTTCTCCTTGCACCCCATCCTATCGTCTCTCTTCTTTATCCCTCACACTACCTCTCTTTCCTCTCCCAACTCTTTCTATCCCTCTCTCTCTCTCTCTCTCTCTCTCTCTCTCTCTCTGACAGTGATAAATTGCTGGTTGCTTTGGGTAATCCATCTTGCCGTACCCCACACCTGAACACACACTCCCTCACTCCTCCCTTGCTCCCTTCTTTTCCTCCTCACCCCCTCTGTATCCTTCCATCTCAAGGTTAGTGAAGCTCAGTGAGGAGGAACTAAAGGTAAAGATCTGCCTGACAACTCACACTCATACATGGTTGCATACACACAGAAATAGGTGAACAGTGTGCACAGGGAAAACAGTGTGTGTGCCCGTGACACACACAAAATCACAAACTCAAATATACAAACTCAGTCAGGGTTTTTCTTGGCTCAGAATAACGCAAAAAGGGAGTACACTATGCTTACAGTGAACTACTCCAGAATGTAATGGGAGAATAACTTGTGCCAGGCTGTGGGTCTACATAACAACTCTACTAAAAGGGGCCCCTTGCAATGACTTATATATTGTTATCTGTAAACAAATGTGTGGCTTGTCAACATGATGTAATTAGGATTCGTCCACAAATTATCGAAAAAGCATCCTTTGTCACATGTCAATATCTTTGGCCCAATATATCTTGTCTACCTCTTAACCAAAAACTATAAAATAAATAATTTGGTAAAAATGACTAGAGTCTGAAGCCATAGTGGCTCTGTGAGGTTGTACTAAAGCAAATAGCTGACATGTTAAGCAGGCCAAATGTTCAACTGTTCATTCATAGTTCAGCATGTAAGCATGCACACATTTGTTAGTAGCACTAAACACAATATTGCAATACATTATTTTTGCAGATCTCATGTATTAAACAGAATATACTCAGATAACACAAAAATAGAAAATTCCTTTAAAATCTGAATGTATGGTCAAACTCATTTTCTTTTTTTAATGATGTGAAGACAATAATTAAACAATAACTACACTTTGAAAAACTAAATGAACAAACAATATAATCCATGTTTGTGTAGGACTTCAAACCAATGTGTGAGGGTGATTCCCCCAGGCCTGCACAAAGAGCTTTAATGTGTTTTAAAATAAACCTTAAACCTCCTCGGGGCGTGCTTGAGTCATCCTGTGAGCCTTTAAAAGCTAAAACACTTTTTTAACAGTCCTATATCCATGAAAGTCAACTGAGCGTGCTTGCTCTTTTCCAGGCTTCATAATCACACTCATTCATATGGGGAGCTCTGTAAATGGACCACAGTGCTCCTCTGTTGGACGCTGACCTCCTCTTAGGGAGCAGCTGAGGTTGGAGAGTCCTGCTCAAGAGCGTAGTTGTTATTAAGAGAGGGGAGACTTGTTCAGCCAGATTTCACATTGACATTAAACCTAGATTCAACATGACAACCGTCCAGCCACAAGCTTGCATTACCAACTGCTAGACCTGCTGCTGATCCAGAAGATGTTATCATTCAGATATAACTCATGCTTTGTGTGATATCAGATTAGATTCAGTGAGACCGAGTACAGAGTAAAAAGCGGAGATGCAGAGATATATGGAGGTTAAGATTAAGGAGGAAGGACCCTGCTTTAGTATGACTCCCTCTCTGTCACTGGATGTAGCCTGGTGTACATTCAATATCTGATAACAGTAAACAACAACAACCATTTCAGACCCTCCAAATCGAGCCCCGCAGGCTCCATCTGCTCAGGGTAATTGGAAAGTTTAACGGCTAGAGGCTATTCTCTGTGTCTGATTGAAGCACAGTCTGGGAACAAACAGCCAATTTAATTCTCTCTCTCTTTCTCTCACACACACACACACACACACACACACACACACACACACACACACACACACACACACACAATCTTCTTCCATCTATGCCTTGTTTTGTGTAGCCTGTTACTTTAAACCTCTATTTAGTTTCTTTCTCTACCTTTCCTTTCCTTCCCTCACTCTCTTTCATCTTCCAATTCCTCCATCTTGTTGATAAGTTGGAGATAAGAACGATACGAGGATGCAGCTCGGCTGAGACAAATGATTAGCATTAGTAGAAAGTGAATGCTATTTATGTGTATTAGTGGGTATTGGGTGAGTGAGTGGTGGCAAATGGAAAGATTGGCAGGAGACAAATCAAGTAATAAGGATGTGTTTGTTAAGAAGGGGTTTACTTTACTCAGATACTATAAAACAAATTGTACAAACACAGTGTTGCAGAACCATGCAGTCTGTACACCACTTTCATCACTGCAGGAACACTAGAGAAAATAATCCCAACCACAAAGAAGGGAAGGACTTTCAATTAAAGGTTTACAAAAAACATGTCTAATATTGGAACCATATAAAAGTACTAGTAAAAGATACACAACAACTACAGTGAACTCTGCCATGTAACCGGACTGCAAGCAGCAGCTTGAATGTCATCCTTGTTCTCATTTCACCTCCTGCCCTTTACAATACTCTGTCACAATGCATTCACAGTGCTGCATAAAACACACACACACACACACACACACACACACACACACACACACACACACACACACACACACACACACACACACGTTCTCTTCTCATCCTATCTTTGGCACTAGACAGCCTCTTAACCTATATAGTTAAGCCAGGAATGTACGAAGACAATTTTGCAGCCCTGCAGTGAGCAGCGTATTTAGAACAGGAATGCCATTACAGTACTTGTAAAACATGAACGACTGACTGGCAGAGCCCTGTCTCTTATTTTGACCCTAAATGGTAGGTCTGTGAGAGTGCACAAGGCTATGGATCCTTTCTAAAATAAACTTATATTTCTTTAATAAAAACAGCAGTGCAGTCTTTTTAATGTAACCCTTGCATCCTGGCCCTAAAATCAGTCCCTGGAAGAAGTAGGGCCCCGCAAATTTGCCCTCAATTTCAAAGTACACTGACTTTGACTGTGGAAAAGTTCAATTAGTTTTCACAAAGTTAAGCACAGACATACACATTATTCCCGTCACTCACACCTCAGCATGTCATGAGATCTTCCTAGTGTGAGATGCCCAAGATAGATGTGTTATATCTGACAATGTGATAGCCCGTGACGATGCACTGTTTGTGTGCAAGCTGTGTTTCTGTGTGATATATCAGCCCATGACAGCCCAGCAGGTTGGCTAATATTAAAAGTGTGGTTGGCAGGTCTTCAAATAGACCGTTCAGCGAGGGAGACTTCACAGTATCACATTGTTGGAGCTGGCACCTGCAGCTACTAGAACATTTTTACTTTTCATCTTTCCTCTGGATGATGAAATCAAAAACTTTTAAAAGTCTGAGGAGAGCACACAGGGGAAAACATATATGTCTTACAAGGAACTACACATTTTGCACGACAGACAGATAAGACGGATAGCCGGATATACAAGACTGACAGATAGATAGATAGATAGATAGATAGATAGATAGATAGATAGATAGATAGATAGATAGATAGATAGATAGACAGATGCACATATTAATCATGACAATATAAAGCAACATTCTTTATTTCATACCATATCCACCTTTCTATCACCAAACAAACACACCGCATATGAAAGTCTGGACAGGTGTAGACAGACAGAGGAGACAGGTGCATCACTACTGTAATGCCCTCCACTTATTTCTGTACTGTTGAAATGATGGAGAGGCAGTTGCCATGGTAGCTATGGATCTCATGGCAGCAGGTGCTGTTGCCACTTTCACCAACATCCAGCAGTGCAGTGGGCTCTTGGTAGAGCACAGACACATATCAGTGTGTGTGTTTGCTCATTTATGTATTTTCATATGAACCTCAAGGCGCCTCAGTTTGTGTATTGTGTCAGTATCAGTGTGTTTGGGTGTGTTCCCTCATGCATGTGATTGGCCTCTCACTGCAATGTGTGGTGTTAGCATGCAGGAGTGGTGTTTGTTTTGGTCTTGTGGTCTTTGAGGTATTCAGAGGTGTAATAAATGCAAAACTGTCTTTTCTTTGTCACTGCTTTGGGTTCACTACATGTGTTTATTATTGAGGATACTTAACTTGCTTTACCCGGGGGTCACTTTTGCAAATTGATAATATGGGGGCCAGTTAATATCATCAAAGGCAATATCTTTTAGCCTATTTTGATGAGTTGTTTGCATCATGGCAAGGTTTTTGCATTGAAAATCAGAAACATTTCATTTCAATTTTCTTTTATTATGAATTTCGAAATGATCTGCGGGCCATCCGGCACTAAGACAGGAAATAAGGGGAAAGAGAAAGGCATGAACCGATCATAAATATCCCTGTCCAAAAACAAGACTGCTTGACCACAAGGATGTCAAAAAACAAGCATTGGAACGAAGTCTTCTTTTTAAAATAAGCAAACGAGCGAGAACTGCTGTTTAAGAGTAAAAATAAAGCAAAGAAAATCAAATTGCTCCCACTAAACAAACCCCCGGTACCTTGGAGTGTGTTACATTTTCTAATGAATGCTTATTGGCAAACTAAAATCCATCATCTGCTGTCTATTGGAACTGGCAAAGATTGTAGTAGCTTCTCTGCTCTTGAAACCCAGTGTGTGTGGCAGCCTGGCCACACTACTGGCTCGGGTAGTTAGTCTAATTAAGTGTTTTACGCTCCGGGTCAGTGACTGTAATGACAATGATAGCACTATTAAGGAAAACGGTTTTGTGTCTTTTCTCTCACTACACATTTTTATACATGTTCCTCCGTTTCTCTTCTTCCTCGTCTAAATTAAAATCTTTCTTTTCTCTCATCCTCCTTTCCTAAATTAGAAAAATGTGTGAGTGTGAGAAACAGTAAGAGAGATTGTGTGTTAATGTGTCTATGATGCTGGTATCTTGCGTCTGCATGGCAATATCTCCAGACATGCTAAATAAAGAGTGATATGCAGGAAATAGGACAGGAGAGACTGAACTAGGGGCAAGAATAAGGGGTACATTTCTCATAAAACGGCAAAAGATACCGACACTAGCCAAAGGTACATCTAACTGGTAGTGTTGTACCCCATTTGTCTCCATAATAGCAGTATACATTATTCAAGGTATAGATATCATAACGTGCTGGGAAAATTCTACAGGGATCTCAGTCAATGCAAATGTGTTCTTGCAAGATCATAAGCAGCACATCCGTGTTTGTTCCACCTCATCCCTACGGGGCTCTGCTTGAGATGTGCAGAGCTGACAGGAACAGAGGGGAAGTCGCTCTTATGTTTATTGTTAGACAATGTGTGCTGACATTGTACATTATCTTACTGACATTTAGAGAGGCTGGCCAACTAGAAGCACATGGTCAGAAAGAGGATTTTCCAGCTTGCAGAATGCAACATTTAAAAAATAATAAGGCCATCCAGTCTCCTGACCCTTCTCATTAAAGTAAATTTAAGTAGCATTGATTATAAGCTACTTTGTACTTCTTTAATTATAAATACAGTATCTACATGTTGTTTTCATAATAGTATTTGTAATAAATACCAAAACATGTTTGAATTGAAATAGGAGGCTGCAGGAATGAGTAATATAAATACTTGCGGGAAAAAACTAATTTTGAAGCCTATCTGTCGTTTGCAATCAAGCGGCTAGATAAGACTTTAAATGGTGTCTGGAGACTGGAGTGTTGAAGGTCATTTTGCTGAACACAGGGATACTTTTCCACTAACGTTACAGTCAGAGGACCATGGCTTAGTATGTTTAGCCTAATGTAGATGTTGATGTTGACTTACTTGTCGCGATTAAAATCATACAAGCATGTAAAAGATAGCAGATGGTGTCATAAACATTTGTTTCCGACCATGCTTTTTTTCAGCAATAATTCAAAATCCAATGAGAAAACCTAATTGGCTTTTTTTTTGTTGAGGGAACCAAAACAATGCCAACTTCTGGTTGGTCTAAGAAAAGGAATCATTCATTCAACACTCTTCAGAGAGGGTACAGTAAGCAACACTAGATCTTGAGATGATGTGTTTGAGAGTGTGCTTCAGGTTTGGTCAAATTGACATAATCCCAGTGAGAAGCTCTTCAATTCAGCCTGCATCAGCATCTATGCTTTCCCTCTCTCTCTCTCACACACACACACACACACACACACACACACACACACACACACACACACACACACACACACACACACACACACACACACACACACACACACACACACACACACACACACACACACACACACACACACACACACCAGCTATATTCTCTCTTACCTCTTGCCAAAAAAGCACGCCAGCCCGCGCTATCATTCACACTAACTCCATATATTGTCTCCCTCTTTCTGCCTCTCACCAGCGTGCACACAGCGATGAGGAGCCCATTAACGCTGATGGAGATATGTATGCGGCTCACATCTGTCACATGTCGCTGCCGTGGCAACACCAGCTGCCGTAGTTACCGGAGGCCTGCTTCTGTAGTGTTATGGGATTTGGTTATTACAGGATAGCTAGCTACCTGTGTTCAGAAATACGTCCCTTTGAGGACATGCTGCAGAGCAGTAATGCTCCACCATTTGATCTGATAAGTAGACTAATTACAGACAAATTACTGGTTTGGGGTGACCATTAGCGAGTGACTGGGATTACTGTAATTGATTTTATCCTCAACAGTTTGACCCCATTTGTTTAAAGGCATCTTAAATAGCAGATAGATCTTAAACTTACAAGCCTCTAGTTCACTGATGGTCAGTTGTACTACCAATATCTTCATTTTGTTTATGTTGGTTGTTCAAAGGATTTGGTAGACAACATTTGGGTTAATACTTTTTAATTCTGCATCTCACTTAAAGATGTTGTTGTTTTGCACAGCTTTGCCTTACATGGAGCATGGAGCTTTTCCTGTTTAGTGGGACATTTACTTCATCTAAGATGAAAGAGGCTTTTAAAGACACAGTCACAAGGCTATTTGTGAATGTTTATGATGGTTAACAAGATAAAACTGTAAAGTAAGACTTGCACAAGGAGGCTGGTTTGGTTGGAAGGGTAAACAGCTAGAGAAATATAGAGAGAAATAATTCATGATTGAAAAACTTTGGCTTTCCAAGTAACAAATACTAAAGTTGGCCAACCATTTTTTCACATACAACAAAAAGAAGGAAAAGATCTCTGTAATAATAATGTGCATTAAGGTCTAAGATCTATGTACTGTATAAGCTCCTGCCAGCTGTTTAATGTCCAGAAACATCTAGACAGACACATGAATGGGTCTTCTAATACAAACATTTTGAGTACATATAACATGTATATAACCTCAAATACCGCACAGATGAAAGTAATCTCAATAAATCTCAAGTTGCCAGAAAGAGGTCCTCTGGAGTGAAGATATTCACAAACATGTCCTTTTTTGGTTTCATTTTTATGTCTGAAGTCGAACAGTATATGTTTCCCTTTATAAACATACATGGTTTTGCCTTTCAGCTGATCTGAAACAGACCCTCAAACACACACACACACACACACACACACACACACACACACACATAGTGACCCAGTTTCAACTGAACTGGACCAACCAAAAAATAGATCATCCTGTAGTCATTTATGATTTGGGCGTGGATATAAGGGATGGGTACACACACACAGATAGATGCAAGGATATACACACCAGTAGAGCAAGGACTGAGTTCTTAAGTGAGTACAGCTGTGAAGCCAGATGTGGTTGAGTGTGTGCCCAGTGCGTGTGTGCCCAAACCTGAAAAACCTACTCTGCTCTTCTAATCTCTCAACAGAGCACTCTTTTGCACTCTAGCTGACTGAGTAAAAGCAGTAATAAAGTCAAGATGGACAATATGATTATAAATGGACTTCAGTTTAATTTGAGGACAACATTTAAAGCCCATTATAAAAACAAAACCACAGATGCTATCTGTTTTAGACTACTCTTCAATGAATTAGATAACTTCTCTATGACATGCAACAGAGAGTAAGCACTACACAAAAAAACACTTTGCAACAGCTAATAGTTGCTCATCCAACAAACAAGTTATCATGACATTCAAGCAATGTGACACATTCTGACATAGACACTTGTATGCATGTGTGTTTGTGCTTGTTAGTGTATTCACGGAAGGCTTTAACAACACACACACACACACACACACACACACACACACACACACACACACACACACACACACACACACACACAGAACTGCAGACATGTTCACAAACAACTAAATATTCAACAGTAGGATCGGTGAAGGTCATCATTATCATATTATTAACACCCTCTGTGAGAAAGGGTTTTGAGTGTGTGTGTGTGTGTGTGTGTGTGTGTGTGTGTGTGTGTGTGTGTGTGTGTGTGTGTGTGTGTGTGTGTGTGTGTGTGTGTGTGTGTGTGTGTGTGTGTGGTTTGCATGGGTCAAGCATGGACCATCATGTATTCATATCCAGGCACAGAGACAGGTCTATATGGTTCAGAGGCATATTGGGGGGGTGTATTGGATGGTGCATGTGTATTTTTATTCAGACTGTGAGGGGTCACATATGTCCCAGTGTCCTGTGGGAATGACATGGGGCCTCATGCTGACATCGCAACAGGAAGGGACACACACACACACACACACACACACACACACACACACACACACACACACACACACACACACACACACACACACACACACACACACACACACACACACACTCAGCTGAAGTGCTGTTCTGGCACATTTGGTGAAGGAGAAGGATTAAAAGGTCACATTGCTTTACCAAGGACATGAGTTCAGCTTTCCCCCCGACACAAAGCACCTGCGTAGGTCAGTTGACTCTTGTAGGAAAAGCCTGCATAAGAAAAATTGTACTCCCAAATACTGTTGGGTAACATGCAGTGCATCGTAATTTGGGGTTCACCTTCACAGTTTTAAATCAACGTGTTTTACCATGTTTCAAGTACCATGAAAGATATATTACTTATTTTTAGTAACACCCCCAATAGTTGCAATGTAATTATATCATCCAAGAAACCATGCAATAACGGATCCTGAATCAGTTGATTTGTAGAAGTCAAGAGCAAGATTTAAGGAGGAAATCTTAATCATATTTACAAAACAACATTAATGATCACACGTGAGAGGGGATTCAATCTTCTGATCGAAATTACTTTGATAATATCCAGTGTGCAGCATATACAATGCAGTCTACATTTCTGTAAAAAAAAACTACTACTTCCTCAGACCATTTTTTCGTTAATTATTTTTGACTTTAAATCTGTCAAGCAGGCTACACAGAGAGGAGGACACTCAAATCTATTGTTTTTGCAAAATCAATGAGCCAAAGACAGATACAGTATTTTGGTTTGTGATAACCCCACACTTGTTTTTAAGCCTGCTACCATAGTTTTGTGTATTAGGTGACAATGTCTTTATAAATACAATTACTTAATCTTCAGCTGTGAAAAACACAATCAACTCTATTAGCATAATTTTGAATTTCATTTCCCACACATACAGTACATGCAGTGCACCATGTACAATCCTGTAACTTACATGCCTTTATTTTTTGCACTCTACATTAAATGTCTCCACAAAGGGGAAGCTTTAATCAGCTGGAACTATGAACCCAACCTCGCAAATAACCTTTTGATTAGTGGTCTTCCCACCAACAGTCTCCATTAACCCCACAATTCCTACCGATTTCCAAATGTCATGTTCTTGATCGAATGAGAGCCCAGTGTTTCCACTGCTCTGTATTACTGGTTGTACAGTAAGTCTGTGTGTCCCACTGTAGCCCTATATCTGACTCCCATTTGCTAGATGCACTTTATTAACCCCCCGGTGCATAATGCATGCTAATTTGTTACCAATTAACTCTGAGTCTGATGTGTGGCCTTCCTGCAATAAATCCAGTTAACTGCAGCAGGAGAGCATTGAACCCAGAGGCAACTTCATTAAAAATGATGCAAAGTCAAAATGCCTGCCATTAGGACTTTTAATATGTTTTTCTTTGTGCTTTTTATATGCATAACTACGTATTTTTTCAACAGCCAAACCAGTGCAAAAACTAAAATGTTCTTAATTGTCTATGATTATTTTGTACTGCCCCAAGTACAATTGCACAATGCAGTGAAAAGCCAGACTTATTTTACAGTCTCACCAGTTCTTTAGATAATTATTCATAATTCATGAGATAGAAATCGGTTCAGGGTTGGCTGGTTATTTAGTATGTGGGAAGCTCAAGAAACAATGTATACACATGTACATATGCACATGATACAAAATTTGTATAGTATATGAATTGATAGCATATCATTTATAAACTGACACCACTCTGGAGCTTATGGTATATCAGTTAAGAATCACTGACACTAATGTAATTAAAATGTATTCTATAGATTACCAAAAGAAAAAAAGAAATCACCTGTCAAATCAAATTAGAACAAGGCTGCAATCTATCTATCTATCTATATGGATTATTATTTTCTCTAAGTGGTCAATGTCTTCCAGGAATCTATCATACTAATTCCCCCAATGGGAGAAAGGCACTAAGGAAAAGAGTAAATGTATTTGAATTTGGTCATATGATCAATCAGGTAAATGGAGAATTCCAACAAATGCAATTTAAATGGTGTTGTCGGTGTCATCTTTTATTTAGATTTTGACACTGTGTCAGTATTTGATTTAGAGCTTCAGATAGAATAATTATCGTAAATCCCAAAGGCTGTTCAGTCCCTTCTCTTTTCAACAGCTGGTCAAATGAGGGTTGGACAAATTACAGCATCCTTGTGATTTATGAGAACAATAACTGACTACACAGCAACGCAGTAAGCAAGGGAATGATTAGAGGCCCAGTCTTTCATGAGCGAACAAGTTCATATGTGCCACTGTCTAAATGCCACAGTAAATAAAGGTACAAGTTGTGCTACTGATACACTACAAACCCACCACTGGGTGACAGAAAAGGAAATACAAACACTTCTGCAATTGGACTCACACACACATCCATACACACCACAAGATGAGCAGACAATCTAGTTTGTACCTTGGTGGAGTAAGGTCCAGGGATGAGCAGTTTGAGAGCTTGTCTTTTCAGCTCTGTCAGCCTTGCGTTGCAGTTCTCACACCATATCCCTCTTTCACTACCAGGGGAACTTCCACTGCCTGAAGCCGGAGATCCTGTCCCAAAACCTGGGGAGCCACCCAGAGAACCAGGCGATTCTGTCCCTATCCCCGGAGAGATGGTCCCTGGGGATCCGGAGAAGGACCCTGGGGAGGAGATTCCTGAGCCTGGGGACGGGGTGCCTGTGGAGCTTGGCATTGATCCGGCCCCCTCTGGAGCGGGCCGTGTCCCGGAGCGTGTGTTTTCCTCGTAGGGCTTACGGTACCATGTGTCCGGGAAAAAGGGGGCAGATTTGGTCGGGGACGTGTCGGGCACCTGTAGAGAAAAACATTTTTTTTAAAAAGGAAAACCTAAATTGTAGGCCGTTTTCATGGCAGACATTTTAACATTTCTTCATGAAAAACACAGGTCTAAACAATCATATTAAAGGGGGATTGTTTTTATGTTAATACTTATATTTTGGGTTTCTACTTAATTGGGTGACATGCTTTAATGTTCAAAAAACACATAATAGGGAGGCGTGTGGCGCAGTGGACTAGTGCGTTGAAGTTCGGATCAGGGGGGCACAGGTTCAAACCCTACTGCAGCCAGCATGTCGTTGTGTCCCTGGGCAAGACACTTCACCCCAAATTTCTCCTGTGGGGATTGCCCACAGTATTGAGTATGTAAGTCGCTTTGGATAAAAGCGTCGAACATGTAATGTAGTTTAATAATTTTTCTAATACTGTCTGTTTAAATATAATTAAATAATGAATCACCCCTTGTCTGAAACGCTCTGTTACAGCGCCTGTCTCTTTAAAGACACTCCTCCCCAAAAGCCAGTCTGCTCTGATTGGCTGGCAAACAAATGTGGTACACCTTTGCAAAGGTAGTTCATAAGCCAAGTGGAGGATGGGGAGATATATTTTATGAAACAGGGGAAGTAGAGCAACATCTGAAAGGCTTTTTAAATTCCCATTTTTCCTGACCTAAGGAGCAAACAAATGCTGGGCTTTCTTATTTCACAGTTTGGTTGGTTGGCACTCCAAAATGTATATGTACAAGAATGGTGAAAGTCAGTTTTCCATAATATGAACCCTTTAAGTAATAATGGATTCATTCCCCATAGGTTTTCCAATTGTAATGAGCAACCTATATGGTTTAAATATGTGCAGCACTCATCTCAGTGAACACAAAAGGATGAGAATAACAAATGAGGAGGGGACCTGGACACGTGTCTTCAATCATGCGATTTAAAAGTCAGGCTATTTATATTTTGCCTGAAAAGCTACATTTGTGTTCACTATATCCACCTAGCTTTATTCGGTATGCTATTTATTTGGTTGAACTCCAATGATTATGTCTATGCTCACAAATGAACATATATCTGAATTCATGAAAGGGAATCAAAGGCAAATTAATCTAATTGAAAAAAAAATGCAGCTGACACAGCTTCAATATCATTGAAACCAACAATTGATAAATAGAGAATATCCTGTTTTGGAAATAAGCTTACAAGCTAAACACAGACAGGCACTCAGTTACATTATCTCATGCCAATAACCTACACACACACACAAGCAATTGGCAGTCAATGGGTAGACACAGGGTCTAAACTAACATTGGGCAATTAAACCAAATTATCAGAAAATCCAAAAATCTTCAAACATTGAGCAATATTATACATTTAGAGTAATGGTGCTGCAACCCAGGTCACAGCATCAGGCAACATATGGATGCTTCTGTTACCATGCAAATAGGATTAAGTCAAATTCCGTGTGAAGACCTGTGTTATTTTTTCTCTATTCAGACAACCACATGGGAACATCAAATGAGCCGCAAGGAGTTGAAAATGAGATCGTTTGCGGCTGGGTAAATCCAGTCAGAGAGAGCTATTGATGTGGTGTTGGCTGGAGAGATTGGGCACTATAGCTACTTTAATCCTTCACAAGGGCTATAATAAGCAAGCACTGAGCAGGCTGGTCAGAGGATAGTCACTCATCTCGTAGTGAGGAGGAGGAGGATACAGTGTGAGCCAACCCTACTGTATGTTATAAATTAACACTAATTAGTCTGTAGGAGGTATGCAGTGACACAGGTGTGAGTGTTATACCTGATTTAGCTGCTTGGCGCTCAGTTAGTGATAATTAAGAGATGCGGGAGATTTATCTCTGAAAAAAGCATTCCTCTGCTGTGACACCATGGCACTGATGTGCATAATTTGATCTTCACAAAGCACTCAATCAACAGCATTAGCACAATGAGCTTCCCTATGAGTTTCATATGCATTTCAGACTGATAATGTGAGCAAACTACAGTTTCATTTTTAAGTGAGAGGTGAAGTGCATGCAACACTGAATGGATGATAAGTTGTTGTGCACTGGGCTCATAGGTAGAGGTGTGTCCACCCCTCGGCTGCTGGAATGAATAACCTACCCCATATTTTCTGCTCCGGCTGCTCACAGACCTCTCCTTGGTCCCCGACAGTGAAGTCATGTTGGAAGTGAGAGGAGAAAGAACCGCTGCTGCTGCTTCACATTCAAAAAAAGACCACCGGATCGATTTCAATTAACCACAAGCCCCTGCAGTTTTCTTTTTCTCAATCTGGAGGCAACCTCACGCCACTTCCAAGTGCATGTGGAAACGGGTTACATCCCCATTACGAAAAAAAAAAGAAATCCTGGTTTTCTTTTAGTTTTCCCTTTGCAGAAACAATCACTTCTTGAAAACAATATGATAATTCACACAGGTCGTGCGAGAAAGCAGACCGCTCCCTGTCAGCAGAATGTGCTGAATGGACTCTCTGCTCAACAGCGCTCCGGACGGGCTCCGCACTCAGCCCTGCCTCTCTCCATCAGCTCTGCGTCTCAGGCTGCCCAGGTGGAGACGCAGTGCAATTTCCGTGTAATGTCACAATCTCATTAGATCGAGTAAAATCTGGCTGCCAGAGTCTAAAGGAATGGTTCACTGGTGGTTTAGTTGTAACTCTCCGTACCCTCCTGTTGACTTCCCAAGGCTCCGCACTCTGCTGAAGCCAGCAGCGCACTGAGGAGACAGGAGAGGGGCGCACATCTGGATGAGGGCGGGGCCACCGTCCCTCATCACCCACAAGCCAATACTAATCCAGAGGTTCCAGCTGACTGGCAGGTAGAATGCTGACTGTGAGAGGTGACACAACTGAATAATGCTTAGATGGAGGTTTGTATTACTGTTGGATGTTGTTAGGGTGACATGGTTGTGCGTTTTACTCAACTATATAATTGGGACCCTTTCATTTTTCTGTAGCTACAAATAAGGACACTGAATTAGGTTTTATTTATTACTGGTTATTATGTTTGGTGATCCGAGAAGACATTATCATGGGGATCACTTTAGTTCCAGTATTTCTTTATGATTAAATTGAAATTACTAAATATCAGAGTTTTGCTTCTCACAGTGGAGAAAGAAATGAAACAACAAATACACCTTAATAAATTTTCCAGAAAACAAAATGTAACAGTCGACTGACTTATTAAAAAAAAATTAAAAGATTAATTTAAGCTTGGACTCAGGGTTTCATGGTTCTGGGCACTTCCTGTTTATTACAATCGGCAAAAATAAGCCTTTTGGAGATGGAGAAGAATAAAAACAAGTAACAGAGGGCTGGGACTAGTATGTAGGCCTATATACAATCAGAATCAGAATCGGTTTTATTACCAAGTAGGTTTACACACACAAGGAATTTGCTTTGATATGGTGCATACAAAGACACAGAAAGAAGAATACGTAGCAAAATAAAATAAAATAGGACCGTTATGACATCTATTTAAAAAAAGGCATATAAAGATTATTATAACAAATGAACAATATTTACATGTGACAAATAATACTGTATTTAAAGTGAAAAAAAAGGTAGTTGGGAAGAAATATGCAACATTTATAAATTAACAAGGCAATTCATCAGTCAACGTTCAACATTCTTTAAAACTCTGTCTGTTTCTGTCAACACCACAGTCAAAATGGCCAACTGGCTGGTTGAAGACTGTTGAAACTGACAAATCAATAAAAGCAGTAATATTTCTGCATTTCATTCTTTTGGCTTCTTTTATTGAAGGAGACATTCCTGCATAAGGTCCATTGAGAACCACTAAAAGAGAGTATTTAATGAGTGGTTAAACAGTGCCCTCTGCTGCTTTCAGTCGGATATTGATGGAGACATACAGGCATGCTGAAGCTGAATAGAGGAAGTTATTGTAGTGCCATTTAAAAAATACAAATGTCTGCTTCTGTTGATTTATCTGACGTCCAGCGCTCCGTCTTTTAACCTCTTTCCTTTCTCTCTCGACCCTCCTTAGCAACAGTCATTATTGTGCTTAACAGTGGTCTGTACTACTGTCATATTAACCTCTGAAAGGTCCAAATGGACCAATCGGAATCGAGTATTCAACTAAACTAAGACGGGAGAATGGCCTTCCTCTACAGCAGGGGTTGGCAACCCGCGGCCCACGGGCCTCATGCGGCCCTTTAAGCCCTCTGCTCTGGCTCCCTTGAGTTTAGACAAAAATAAGAAGGAAATAAAATAAAAGTATTTGTAGGACTATTTATATTTTGTTGCATGGTTGAAAATGTTTCGTATCTTGTATTTTGAGGTGATACTGTGACACATAAATAAAAAAACAAAACGGTTTTAATTAGGTCAACTAAAATATGCGTCACATCCTGCTACGGTCCCGCGCGAGCGCCTTTTCCTGCGGGTGAATAACCTGACCCCCGGCTCGATGAGCGAACTATGGATAAATCAAAGAAAAGTATCGGAGGAACACAGGAATTAAATTCTATGTGGACAGAGTTATATGCTTTCACAGCAAACGATGCTGGTTTACTATGGAATCAAATTAGGGTCAATAATATTCACAAATTATTTCACAGTCTGCAGTTGTATATCACCTGTTGTGCGCATGTGAAAAGATTTTGTGCATGTGTAAAAAAGTTTTGTGCACACAGATATAATTTGCTCGTGTAAAAACATTTTGCACGTCGTAAAAGAGCTTTATGCATCCCATTGTGTGTCCCAACAATGGTCACTATATAATTAGCAAGACAAGAAGTCTGTAGTTTGTAGTCCCACGACGATAATCCACGGTACAACCGAGTGACCTTTCCTGAGATGTACGGTGATTTTTCTTGACCTTGGAAGTTAGTTGATTAATTAAATTGGACATAAATGGACGATCAAGTACAGTTATTGCCGATCGGCACTCTTTTTTTGTTGTTTTTTGTTTTTTTTTTCGATGGAATAAAAATATTTACCGAGTCTGACTATGTTTAGTCACAAGAAAATTGACATTAGCACGTAGGACTGTAAAAAGAAGTATAGTCTAAAGGTTATTAGGTTACAAAGTACATTTTTTTTTTGTGTGTTTTGTTCTTTATCGGACAATGGGACCTACCGTTTAGGCACAAACAGGTGTCGGAGTTCCTTCTTGACGTCTCGACAACTTTCGGAACAACAATAACCGATGAACATCCATTCGTACTAGATACTCTCGTAAATATCTTTCCTTTTTCATTCGTGGTGTTTTGTGTCATGAGTTTATTGGATAATTACCTTAATTTATGACTGGGTATGACCATACACGCACTATTAATTTGAAATTTTTACCGTAAATTATAGTTAAGTGAAAAACTAGTTCAACATTTTACTTTGAGGTCCTTCGTGATTGGGAAAGAACTTTTAGGTAGTTAAGGTGGTTTATAATGGTATGGTATAGACGTTTTTATTTTCCATAATTAACGAACTACATAGGTGTCGGTGTCAGAACAGGGTGGTTCAGGAAGGACTACTTAACTTTATTACAAGCACAGGGTAGCGGTCTGGGGAAAAACACCAAACACGAAGCTTATTGTACTACACCTTAGCGCGATGTATTCTACTGGGCGTGTTACATATCACTTTACAAAATATAAAGATGTTATGGACCCGAACACAATTGTAATATTTTTGTATCGAACTCCTTCTCGTAATAACAATCTTTATACAATAAACACAGATTTTATAACGACTAACCAGAAAATTTACTTACTCATTCCGATTAAAGACCGGACTTGAGCTCATCACTCCGTACACAAAGTCCAATTTCGAACAACTGTCAAAGACGGAAAAGTACGTTTTTTCATATCTACGTACCTGAGACATCTCATTATCTTTTTATATTCTTAATATAAATTTGTTTATTTCATTAATTATATTAATGTATTAGCTTAGTAAGACAAAACTAACTAAATCGAATGAGCGGAGTAGCAGATTAACGCGCCCAACATTCCCGTAAACACAACCACCGGAGATATAAATAATACCTAATACTTCTAGCATACCAATCGGTGAAATGGCAAGAAAAAAGCTCAGTACGAAATTAAAAGGTCGAGACGTGCAGCTAACCGTTTGACTTGAAATAGGCTGGAACCGATGATTGCAGATGCAATGGAAGGAGAGGTATAATTACGGCCCGTAAAACATACTCGGAGGCTTTTCACAAAATTATAGTAATGAAAGAAATTGTAATTGCATTGAGTAAGTTGCGTGTTGTTGTTGTTGGTCAATTAAATCGGTTGTCTGACATCATCGATTCTGTTATCGTGTTCTGAGACGACGCATATATAACAGAGGCCCTACGTGGGTCACAGGAACTATATAAATCAATTAATGCTACATTGCCAATCAATTAATTTGTACATCACCGGTACAGGGCACCATCGTACATTTAATTGGGTGGACACAGGTCTTCTCAAGCGAGCCCGAGTGAGGTACAATGGGCGGTCTGCGTAGTTCGACCGCCGTCCATGTTTTGCTTGGCGCTCCTAATCTTGAACACCAATACTAACCTACCGTCACCCGAGACGACAACGATAGTCACCCGTTGGCAGACTAACCGATCGTATGAGTCCGCATTTTTGTCCCAGGTGTTAAGGCATTGAGCATTAGTCGAACATCGAACATGAAGTTCCAACGGTGTGTGTCTATCCCTTTAAACACACAGGCATGTAGAGTCGAAACACCTGTGGAGTTGACAACATTAATAGGAACGTGGTTTATAAAGATGTGGGACTGTTTTGAAAAAATGTGCGGACGTTTAATATAACGTTTTTGAAAAGTGTGTTGCGGTGTTTTAT